TAGCTAAATTTATCTAAGCTTGGTTGGATCCTTTTTTTAGTTAGAAAAGATCTGCGTCTTGCCACAATCCTAACAGATGGAATACAGGAGATAGTTGTCCCATGCAGAGAACAGCCAGTACTTAACAGAAAGAGCTGCAACTTTAGAAATTAATACTGCGTCTTGATCAATACTATGGGGAACGCCATCAGTGTGATGAGTTTCTGAAGCATGTTTACACACAACAATTACATTGCCTGACGATAGTCCAGGGCTTCACTACTGAAGCGTCTGTGAGGTGCCTGAAATGGTTCATCAACTCTTCTTATCTTCAGAATCCACTTTTGCTAGTATAACGACTGGAAAAATGATCGACATGCCAGGCGAATGTTCTAAAAGGGCTGTGCCTATTCTCGTGAGTAATGAATGTGTTTTGGGATTTATGTGTGTTAAACCAATCAGAGTCTCATCTCCCATTCCCTTTAACTGGCAGTTGCGCTTGCGCAATGGCGGATTTGCTATTTACATGACAGAATTTGATAGCGGAAAGACCAAACTCGTCTTCAGAGTGCAAACGGAACTGCTCTTGCGCAAGTAGATCATCCACGGGAAAAGCCGGATTCCACCATATCTTTATGTACACACTAATAATCTTTTACATTGTAATACTTTTATTTTAAATATTTGGTTATTGTGTGTGCTGCTGTAACGATTACACTATAAAAGTATACATAAAATGTATTTAAGGGGGCCGGATGGCAAATTTAGCTCAAAGGGAATGATTCATTGATTTAGAATGAATCTTGACCAAATCACTGTGGAACCGAGCAAATGACTCGTTTAGAGTTCATTTGAACGGGCCGTAATTGTAACCTTTGCAAAATATATAAATATCCAATCTATAGTGAAACGCTATGTGTTAGCAAGGTAACTTTAGATCGACAGTACAAGACATCCCAGACAGCAAACTGACATTGAATTAACGTGGAAACCACGTCTCTCATGACATTGAAACAACGTTGATTTTGCTCATCGAATTAACGTTGAACCAACGTCAGACGCGGCATTCTTCAAAGCTAAATGAAAATCGAAAATTGGTTTGCTTTCATAACGTTGAAACAACGCGTTGATTTCAAGTTGATTTTCCGTTAGTTTTGAAAGAATGACGCGTCTGACGTTGGTTCAATGTTAATTCGATGAGCAAAACAATGTCAGATCAACGTTGTTTCGATGTCATATTTCCACGTTGATTTAATGTCAGTTTGCTATCTGGGATTAAATATGCAAATACAACACAAGGCAATTATCTTTTCAATAGCCTATCCTAACGAGCTGAGGATCTGAATCAGGTGTGTTTAATAAGGGAGACAAAGACAATATGCAGAGCAGTGGGTCGCGAGGACTGGAGTTGAGAACCCCTGCCTTAAAGCTCTGCTCCTGGGCTGTAGGTGGTTAAAGCCCGGAACACACCAAGCCGATGAACTAGCGCTGACGAAAGCCGACTGTGTTGTCGCCTCTCGTCCGCTATCATCGGGGTAAAAAGCTGCACTTGAATACACCGAGAGAACTATAGGCGACTGTCAGCTAGATATGCGTTCTGCACTTGCATATAATGAGCCTACTGTCTATTTCAGCAGATATATTAGTCTATTTTCGTCATTCAAAAAGGAAAACCGACATGTTCAACATGTTGAATCTGGCGAAACAAAGCCGACGAGGACTATTTTCAGCCAACGGCACAGAACCGTGCGGAACACACCGAGGAAACTTAGTCGGCCGACGCACAAAAACTGCCCGGCGGCCGACCGTCGGCTTGATGTGTTTCGGGCTTAAGGCTGCGCCCACAAGGAAGAGAGGAAGGTTGAAAAAGGCTGGGAATTTCCTTGTCAAGGAGCATATGTCGTTGATCAATGAAATTGCTGTGTGTATACACGTGCTTCAGACACCATTCACCAGTGTTGTAGTACTCGAGACTCGGACTCGTCTCGGACTCGGTCTCGAGACCATATTTTAATGGTCTTGGTCTTGTCATGGACTCTTGTGCATTTGGACTCGGAATTGACTCGTACTCGAACATTTTTTTTTTAGGACTCGGACTTATTCCCGAGTCCACTCGAGTTCAATTCAAAATATTTTTCATGATTATTAATGTATGTTAATAAAATATTTCTTTAAATTGATTGACATGCCCAGTGATTGGTGATTTTCTAGTGCGCAACTGCGCATGACAAATTGTAATAAAATTACTTTTAACACCACCTACTATGTGGCCTTTTTACCCTAAACTGATTATATTTTTTAAACTCTAAGTAAATTCAGTAAAAAAAAAGGATTTCTCTAAGTAAATAAAAGTAAATTAGGTAATCAACCCTCACTGGTCTCGGTCTCGACTTGGACTCGACCGTCTCTGGTCTCGGACTCGACTCTCTATGGACTTGGTCTCGACTCGGACTCGACTCTCTCTGGTCTCGGTCTCGGCTCGGACTCAAGTGAGGTGGTCTCGACTACAACACTGCCATGCACATAGATGCTGTTCCCCATAACAACGATCCAGACAGTTTCTTACTCCCCTTCTCAGGAAACCATGGTTACCATCATAACCATAGATATTTTTGATCATTCACTGTTGTGCCATACTTTCTACTAGGGATGCACCGATACCGATACCGGTATCTGGTATCGGCCTCGATACCACATTTTCTAAAGTACTCGTACTCGTTAAAAGTCCCCCGATACCGGGGACCGATACCATGTTCTGAGAAATGGGTTAATCACAGGCGCCGAGTGCCCACCCCCAGGCTCCGGCTGCAGCTCAGAGCGGGGAGATGGGGAGACATGTCAGCCGTGTGGAACAGTGATGCGCGGGTCAATGTAAACAACCCGCACACTACCAACGTTTTCAACTACCCGCCCGCTACTCGGACCACAAAAAAAGTAAGAAAATATTGTACCCGACCCTCTTCCTGAATCCTGACCGTATTTTTTAAAAGTAGTACATGCTCATCGCGTCATTGGGCCATAAACGTGTAACAACACAGCATCGCAAGAAGACGTAGCCTACATATAACAAAGGCAGCACTTTGGTCATCATCTTTCATTATTTCGGTAAATGTCTCCCACACTTACTCTTTCTATCACCTTTTCTCTTGCCGCCTCCATCTCTCTGCAGACTAGTGATCATAGACATGGCCGGTTCGTGAACGAATCGGTTCTTTTTAATGAACCGGTCGAACCAGTACGCTAAATCGAACTGAATCATTCGCATCAGTTCACGTCTTGCGTCAGTGCTGATCCACAAGTTACTACAGTTACTCACTTTCAGACATGCCTGACAGTCCCTCCGAGTTGAAATAAACCAATATCCCGAATTATATTTTACTCCAGTAACTCTAACTGTTCACTGAACTGAGACATGTTGTTGATACTGCTGATACTGCGCATCCGCGTATAGTAACGAACGCAGAGGTACAGCGGTTCTCGGATCACACCAGTACAGAACTGAGAACTGTTTAGAATGAGCTTGTGTGTCATCTTCGTGCCAGTTATTCAGCCAATAAATAAATTCGGCCTATATATTTCATAGAAAATTCTATCTAGTACTATATAAATACAAAGGTTTAATTGGCATTTTTTTCCAAACGACCTGACCGACCGCGACCCGAATATCATTAAAAATATTTTTGGATGACCCGTAACTGCGGGTAACCGCGGGTGACCGCGGCGCAGGCACCCGCTCATTTTGGATCAACCCGTGCATCACTGGTGTGGAACAATTTCAAAGTGAATGGCTTTGGATTAGGAGAATAAGTTTACTTGTAGTCGCCAAGTTACTTATAGTCAGTTGAATGTCTGTTGGGGGACCAAATAAATAAAGTGTTATCAGATATTAAGCTGATCGTACTAATACTCTAGTCTACTAATACTCTAATGACAGTTAGTTGACATGTAATTGAAAAGTTACTTATAGTTAGTAAAGTGGACTATCGAAATAAAGTGTTACCCAAGTAATTTAATCAAGGACCTAAAAACCCATATAAAAATATTTAAATCATGTTTTTTTTGTTTTTTTATTAAGTACTCGGTATCGGTATCGGCGAGTACTGAAATGCAAGTACTCGTACTCGTACTCGTTTTCCAAAAAAGTGGTATCGGTGCATCCCTACTTTCTACACTTGTTGATGACTGTCTTCACTGTGTTCCATGATATATCTAATTTGGAGTTTTTTTGTAGCCATTACCTGAGCTGTACATTTCACCAATAAGACCCCATCTAGACTTTCAGTTGGCAAGTGCAGGGAATAGCTGCACTTCGTCTTTGTTCCCACAGATTTTGTTTGAAAGTTTCTTAAATCTTTTAAGTGAAAAATTGCTACAATCGTGCAATGTGAACTCAGCAATAGCTTTAACAGATATCGCCACTCTAATGTTGCTGCTGAAAGACCACATAACGGCTTTTTCTTCAAAATTTAAATCGCCATTTTCAACTTTTTTGGTGAGGCTGGACACATTACGGTAAACAAGCACAAACAGCGATTTCTCTCACTTGATGCAAGTTTTAGCTGAGGAGTCCTTTCTAAACTCAAAGCGAAAGTCATGGATAAAGAAGGAAGGAATTATCTTAGACAATTGAGGGTCCTCCTCCGTCTATATAGTTTTTGTTGCTGTTAGTGGTAGTTTTTTGTGCAAGTTTATATTACCTCTCCTCCCAAGTTGGATTCATGCTCATTGTGCTCCCACAGCGAAACCGAAGCCAGGGGGGCGGTCTACATCTGTGGTGATGTAGGGATTGGACATGTAATATCTCTGCATTGATCCGTTCCGGGACTGATCCCGGCATTATTACTAGGTGTTTTTGTGTTCACACAGAAGGCGCAATTTTATGGGATCAATTTAAGGGGCTTAAGAAGCATTAGCAGGTTTATGTTCTTGGTTTTGATGCTTTATATGTATAAATGTTTTGATGTCTGTTACTTTGTGCCATTAAACTGGGTTTAACTTTAATTTGTCTTTTTTCGCCTTAGACCTAAGGGTGCTGAAAGAGGAGAGTGAAGTACTGAATGAAATGGAGAAGAATCAATGTGAGAATCATTATGATTTGATAACTGAAGAAAATTCTTTCAGTTGCTCACAGAATCACAATGAAGAGAAGCCTGTCACATACCCTCAGTGTGGGAAGACTTTTGATCAAGATGAAAACCTTAAAGCCCACATGACAATTCACACTATAGAGGGTCCTTTCATCTGCCATCAGTGTGGGAAAAGTTTCACTCAAAAAGGAAGCCTTAACAGGCACATGAGAATTCACAATGGAGATAAGCCTTACATGTGCCCACTGTGTGGAAAGAGTTTTAATCAACATGGAAACCTCGAAGTCCACATGAAGCTTCACACTGGAGAGAGGCTTTTCCCCTGTCAACATTGCGGAAAAAGTTTCAACCGAAAAGGAAACCTTAATTACCACATGAGAGTTCACACTGGAGAGAGTCCTTTCACTTGCCAACAATGTGGAATAAGTTTCACTGTAAAGGGAAGCCTTGTTAGGCACATGAGAATTCACACGAGAGAGAAGCCTTACAAATGCCCTCATTGTGAAGAGAGTTTTGAGCAACATGGAAACCTTAAAGTCCATATGAGAATTCACACTGGAGAGAAGCCTTATGTGTGCTCCCAGTGTGAAAAGAGTTTTGATCAACATGGGAATCTTAAAGTCCATATGAGAGTTCACACTGGCGAGAAGCCTTACACATGCCCTCAGTGTGGAAAGAGTTTTGATCAACATGGGAATCTTAAAGTCCACATGAGAGTTCACACTGGAGAGAAGCCTTACACATGCTCTCAGTGTGGAAAAAGATTCACTCAAAAAGGACACCTTGAAGTCCACATGAGAATTCACACCGGAGAGAAGCCTTTTACCTGCCAACAGTGCGGAAAAAGTTTCAAACGAAAAGGAATACTTAAAAGGCACATGAGACTTCACGTCGGAGAGAACGAGTTTCAATCAGCATGGAAACCTTAAAGTCTACATGAGAGTTCACACCGGAGAGAAGTCATAACCCTATGGGATATGACATAGGGATGCAACGGTACACGGTAAAATCCCGGACCGTTCGGTCAGCCCTGCACGGGACAATCTAACCTCGTGTCCCGCGGGACTTCGGTTCTGCCATAGAGTTCGTGGCGCTGATCCTTTAACCGTATTTTCCGCATTATAAAAGGCGCACGTAAAAGCCTTTAATCTTCTCAAAAAACAACAGTGTGCCTTAAATTCCGGAGCGCCTTACTATATATGGATCAATTAGTTAACAACGCTCCGCGTTATTAAATTCGCCCGCGAACTCGCGCTCGTGTCCAGCTTATGCCCGCTTTGTCACACGGCCAGTTTAACCTCGTATAAATCAGGTTATGTGTGTGTCGCTCACGAGCGCTCACTATTAGACACACGAACAGACCGGCGCTGCTCGCGCGTCATAGATGTTCATAAAGCGCTCCCCGTTCACACGGGTCATCTCATTCAAAACAGCCAACTGTTGTTAGTGAGCCGCCGCACATTGAATACTCATATGAGTCAGGCTGCGAATGTAAGTTACGTGCCCGCCCCAGCGCGCTCACGCTTACTAAATAAACGCCTCACCTCCGGCTCCGTAGCCTACTCTACATTCCCAGCACATAGTGGATGCATAACGCAAACCCAGTCAAATGTTTGACTGCAGTATATTTTTGCACAAGAATCTCTCAAAAGTGGATTAGTAACATTGCACTTTGCATCCTGAATGCAGTATTTTTTTTGTTATATTATTTTGCTCTGCTCTTTTTATTCAAACCACAAGCTAATTTATGTTAAAGGTAAAAGTGCACTTTTTCTTTCACATTGATCACTTCATTTACCAGTTATGAAGGTTTAGAATTGGGATCCACTTGAATATTTTAAAGTGTGCTCGTTTACATTTTGTATATCATAAGTGGTAGTTGAAGAGGTTGTATTGCTTAGTGTTGTTCAGTACAGACTAGAGTGTTAATTTATTCCATACACATTGATGTTCTTCCTACTGTGACATTCTGTTTATGCTCATAAGAAAAATAAAACATATTTTTGGGATGAAATAGCAGTCTATTTCTGCACAAAACATGTACCGAAACCGAACCGAGACCGTGGCCCAAAAACCGAGGTACGGACCGTACCGTGGGCTATCTGTACCGTTGCACCCCTAATATGACATAACCCGAAGTACCACATGAGGACTCACTTAAGAGAGAACTGTCATCATCAGTTTGGTTCCAGACAGGAAACATCTTAGGAATCACGTAACTAGGGCTGTCGTGGTAACCGCAATATTGTAGTACCGCGCTTCTGACAAGTCAACCGCAGAGGATTGCTCGTAACCGCAGCAACCGCGATATTCACATTTTTTTTTATAAGGCTATACCCTTCTTGTTTTGAACTTAATGCATGTGTTTTGAATTTTAAACAAGTTCATAATGATAACAAGACTGTTTATCATGGTGATGTGTAGCCGGCTTCACACAGACAGTGAATGAGAGAGATCGGCAGAGCGCGTGCAATTACCTGCGTCTGTCTTTAGAGTCGTGAAAACCTTGTCGTGTCAAAGGGAAGCGAAATATTTGTCGCATTATCATTTTAACGGGTATTTTCCCATAAATGCGCTTCAGCAGCAGCGCTAGTCAGAATCCCACAACACAAGGAAGCCGCGGGGAAATAAAATCAGTGAGTCACGCATTGAATCAATGCTATATGGGTCATTGCTGCTCAGCTGAGCCTTGAAAAGTTGAATCTCAAAGTTAAAAATAATTAACATCTTGTTTCTTTACATCTCTTTTAATGAATCAGCTTTTTTAAACGTGTTCGTTGAATGAACGGTTCAATGACTCGCTCAAAGTCCGTTGTCATAACAATATGCGCGCTGAGTGAAAGTCTTGATGCACATGCGCTGTTTAATTTCGGTTGCATTGGTTACTGAAAATGTCCTCGTTTTTGTCCACATCGTAAACTTCATTTATATATAGCAACAAATACATATAAATTAAATAAATAAATAAATGGCGGTAATACCGAATATCGCGCTATTGAGCCACTCAACATTACCGCAAGGGAAATTCCATAACCGCGACAGCCCTACACGTAACACCGGAGAGAAGCCTTTCATGTGCCATTACAAAGAAAAGACTCATTCTGGTAAAAATATGCAGTGTTCCTCAGCATCTGTTTATGCGCATAATGCGGATATTGCATAAAAAAAACGCTGGATGGGAACACCAAGATGGGGATAAAAAAAACATGTGCTCATTTGAGTTGGATAATTTTTTATTATCAGATGAGAAAACATGTGCATAGACCATGATGGGAACACATTTACTGAATATATTCATCGATGCGCATCAAAAAGTTGCACAATGGAATGGCATAACTGGACCAACCAGCAGACCGATCTCGTTGCACAGCACCTGAAATGTTGTTTTGGAAATTCTGAAATGTATGAGAAGTCTGTCATCAAAGTGGAATGGTATAATTACCTCCCAGAACTGTCTAACATGACTGCAGGGCTCCAGACAAGGAGCCATTGGCTCCTATGAGGGAAAATAGTTGCCAAATGATGCCACAAAATAATAAATTTGTTTTTATTTTTTATTACAGAATCAACATTTTCATCCATCTTGTGGATGTCCTGGGAACTAAGACTCACTTACAATAGGAACTGAATTGCTTTCTAACTTGAGAACTACATATGGTCACAAAGAATTGTTCTTTACACAGAATATACGGATTATGTGATATAGTGCATATATTTAACAAAATGCCCCTTTCTAGTTATTTTTCTAGTTGACTTACAAGTTTGTGAGCAAATTTGGCGTTACGTGTAGGGATGGGACAATTACCGGTTTCAATAAAAACCCCTATAAAATGTACGATTAGTATTATTGTTTAAAATTTAATTATCATTAAAACCGTGTTTGTGATCAGGAGATTTTTCAGCCTTTTAAGAGGTCCAAATCAGCAGTGTGGTCATATTTTGGTTTTTACAAAAGTCCTGAGGGAAACTTAATTGAGTCACCCTGGTCAAATCTGCCGATCCTCTTGTGTGACCATCACCCACTGTTGTATAGTGAACGCAAGGCAAGTTAAAGGGATAGTTCACTTTGAAATTAATTTTGATATGTTTTAGCTTACCTCAAGGGCATCCAAGATGTAGGTGTCTTTGTTTCCACAGTATTTTCAATTTTGATATTTTTGGGTCAAACCGTTGTTGTCTGTCAGTCATATAATGAAGGTATGGGGGTCCACGTCAAAGAGCATGCACAGAGAAACATGATTTAATGACTCGTAAATGTAAGTACACATTGATGGCCTAAGACACGAAACGAGCGGTATGTGTGAGAAAACGAACAGTATTTATATAGATTTTACCTTGTGTAAATTGAATATCATTTGATATTTTCAATATCAAAATTGAAAATACTGTGGAAACAAAGACACCTACAACTTGGATGCCATTGAGGTAAGCTAAAACATATAAAAAATTAATAACTTTGACCTCAAAACCAAAACTACGTCTGGGAAATAATTGGGCACAACATATTATTTTGAGTTGAAATATTTAACGTGAAGCTTCCGCAAAGAAATGTTTGCAGCAAGTGGCTTTGAGCCAAAGACGAACAAACACGTTCAATTAAGCAACATGACTTTTGCGTAAACATACACGCAACTTTCGAGTCAAGTGGCGTGTTATCTCTACACATTTTGAGCTATCTGCGTGTATCCGCGTATGCCATTAACGTCCGATTGATTCCGCGTGTCTCTACACGCCGTCAAATGTCCGCGCGAATCAAAGCAAAACGTAGATCTACATCTTGGGGAGCGATCTTTTTTTTTTCCTAGGATGGCAATGGAACAGTCATAAATGCCATTAACCCCAGTGACGGTTAGGTTTAGGGACGGGGTTGAGGTAAGTCATATATTTATATATACAGTAATAAAGTTAAGTCAACAGCGTTCATAAACACGCTGAAAAACGATTATGCGTCTTGATAGCACGCCAAAAATGGAAATACGAATTGGCGTGTCATACACACTCTACTTCATGAGATCAGTCTGAATTAAGAGTGAAATTTAAGATATAATAATGTATATATTTATTATAGACTTATTTAACCGATTTTCTACCACATAATTACTGGGACATATTGAATTGAGATTAATATTTTAAATTTTACCTGTTAAATCCATTTTGTAAGGCGTACAAAACTCGTCCAGACAAAATGATCACAACAATATTATCAAACTCTGTAAATAATAAATCATCTCTGATTTCATTTTCAATACAATCAAAAACGGAGAAGCAAGAATCAAGGCGGCAAGTTGTATTTGAATGAAATGAGTGCGTGATACATGGATGTTCTGTTATAATGGGTTGCTATTGATGACGGTCATTATAAGGAAGGAAATGCAACAGAATTGAATCTTGCTTTAAAAAGAGCTTTTTTTATTTGTTGTTTGTGGATTTATTAAATATAAAACTTTTTAAAATGTTTTAAGTGTGAGCATAAGTTATTTTTGAACACTTTCATCTCGTTTTAACAAAACCGTGATAATATTGATAATCACGATTATTTTGGTCACTGTAATCGTGATATGAAATTTTCATCCCGTCCCATCCCTAGTTACGTGACACGATTGTTCTCAATGCATTTTATACAAGTTCTTTCCAAAGTCGAAATGCTTATTGAGCGATCTGTCAGGCCACATTAAAGAGAGACAAAACATCATTTATTGCTTGTATAAACTTTACATCATTTGAAAGCTTATATATTTTGCCACTGTTGTCTGCTAGTTCACTTTCTTTGGTCCGAACCATATATACAATGTTGTTGTTTTTTGTTGTTGCTGTTGTTGTTTGGTGTAGTTTGCTTTCACACTGCCCTTTTTTGAAGTAAACCAAAATTTGTAAACAAAACCAGACATGTGCTACGGTCATCTATTCATTGAATTCAATATTTTCTCAAATGTGATTTTGATTTATCCAAACTCCCGGTGAAACTATTAACATTCCATCAACAAGTTCTCTTATTTTGGAAATTGGAAATTACACACAATTTTACACCTCATATTGTTTCAATTTGGAACAACAAATATATATTGCACAGGAATAAATCTTTATGCTTCAAGAATTGGCTGAGCAGAAGCATATGGTCGGTGAGGGATCTAATGGATGAAAAGGGTAACCTTTTAAACTATAATGATTTTACATTAAAGCATGGATTTACTTGTCACCCCAAATAATTCTTCACTGTCATTAATGCAATACCTTCTGGCATAAAAATGCTGATGAGATATGCTGTTTCTTATGCTGAGGTTAACCCAGCTCTTCCCACTTTATTCATTGGTGATATTCATTTTGAAAGTGCTCAGTGTACTAACAAGTATATAAGACAGGTCGTCTTAAAAACATGTTATCCCTGTCAAATTAAAAGAAATAAATTACATCACATATTTAATAAGACAACTGTAAAATATCTTAGAACAGCTTATTTAAGTTTTCCTATTCCCCCTAAAGCAAAAGAAACACACTTCAAAATTTTAAATGAAATCTATCCTTCTAACAAATTCTTAAATCAAAAATGTAATATAGATATTGTCCCATGTTCTTTCTGTAATAACCACTCAGAAGACACTGACCATATCTTCTTTACATGCAATTGTTTAATTGATTAATAACATTGTAATAATGGCAAAATCTTTTATACACAAATGTAGGTTTTTTAAATCTCTCCCATTACTTGTTGTTTTCAAAAATGATTTAAAATGTTTTTCTAGAGCCCTTAAAAAAATGAGAGGTGGGAGTGCGATTAAGTTGCTTGATCTTTTGATTGCTTATGACTTGGTATGACATTGCCCCTTAATTCTATATTTGAACTTTGTATTTAATTTATTTATTGTTAATATTAAGTTAATGTAAGCTATGATTTAAAATTGTATTTATGTTTTGTTAAATTGTGTTGAGCCTTTTACTCATTCCTATGCATTGTAGAAAGAATACGTTTGCCTTGGTTGTATGTATTTTTTGTATTCAATAAAAAAAAATTAAAAAAAAACAACAAAAACTTTCCGAAACTTGTGACAACCAGGAAGGAGTATTTTGAGAATAGGAATATTCAATCAAACGTACAACTTAATTTTTGAAACTTTGTCCATGTTTAGAATGGGAATCCAAACTCTTTAACAGTGTAAAAAAAACAAAAAAACTCACCATGCATTAGTGCACATATTTCACCCCCGCTTTAAAGATGAAGAAGGACTTTTATTATGGTCTGGTGGTGTGACGTCATACGACTGCGCAGAGACCCAGCGTCTGTTGTGATTCGGCTAAAGAAAGGTTGGCG